TGAGATAAACTGAACCGCTGGGGCAGGGACGGATCTAGGCAAGCCTGCGGAGAATGGATCCACGGCTGCTGTTGCTGGATTTCGTGGAATGGCATGTATAATTCACAGCTATTGGATCATATTGGATCAATCCTCAGGCACCTCTGCGAAAACATGAGGAACCGAACGAAGATGCATTCGGCCATCAAACTCGCATGCCAGAAACCTGTACATGGGGGTGGAGCCATGCGCGATCAACCTGGCCACGATGATTCCTGTTTCTGTCTGCCTGTGTTGATGCCGACAGTGTGCATCCTGCAGTACAAGCAGTCGCTTGCGACGATGACTGTCTGCTGCTTGCACGGTGTGCATTACGGCCAGTTCATCAGACAAGAGGAAAATGAAGCATAAACACAAAGACAACAGGAAAGAGGATGTATGAGAGGCCAGCAAACTCAGAATTGCTGGAAACTGATAGTTTGGCCATTGCAGCTTCAAGTTACCAGCCATAAAAATTCTTACAGGTCCCCAGCCAACCCAAACAGCCGACGCACAGGCGTGCAGAAAACATCACAAGCTATATGGTCGGAAGACTTGTTGCTTCATGTGTAGGGAACCACTCCTCAGCACCGCTTCTCAGCAGAATCGCATCTAAGTAAGGCCTGGCCTAATTCTTGTAACTGTGCCAGGACTGACCCAGCTTGAGTCAAAAGGGTTCGTGACTTTGCAAGGTGGAGTCTCCTCGAACCACTTTTCGGGAACGAATTCAATTCCAGTTAGCTGCAGCTGTAATCCTCCCCAGGGTTATGCACTCAAGAATGCAAACTGGTGTGGCACCTGGGGAGGTTTGTGTGGCTTGACATCGAATGCCTTTCTGAGGCTGGCACGAGGGCCGACGATAGCCAAATTGCAAGCTTCGCCATTGCATCAAGTGCCACACATCACAATGCGAACGTGGCACTGGCAAATTTGCATCGTGCAGAAATCGGGTACTGCATGTCACGTCTTGCTTTAGGCTTGCAGCATGTTGCCCGCTCTGAAGGGCTGCATCACTGAGCAAACAAATCCAGTCTCGAGAGCAGACACCGCGGTTGGGCCATAAGCGAAATCATATCACACATTTCTGTCCCACTGCACCAAGTCCAGGGCACATAAAAAGGCGGTCTTTAGTAAGACCATGCGAAAACTTCAAGGCACATTTACCTCAGCAAACTTATGTGCTCCGGGCTCAGCTTGCTGACCCTCCCTCGGGTTGGGCTGTAGGTGCGGCACTGAAATTGAACCTCGGGTGCCGTCATAAAAAGCCTGAAAAGATGCTCCATGGAGTCCACCAGGGGCTCGGCTCTTCGACATGGGTCAAGCCTTCAGGGTGGGGGAATAATGGAGAATCAAATGGAAAAGAACATGGAAAATGACATGGAAAATGAAATGGAAACTAGGGAGTACATAGGGTTATATTCGGGGTTGTATTACCTTGGCGAAAGGCGTCAATCTCGGCACATATTGAGGAAAACAAGTCCCATCGATCTGAGACCCTGTCTGTGCGCAGGCCCCTGTAGCTGAGAACGCCCGTCTGCCCGGCAGCTGATCGCAAATGCCTGTAGCAGTAGTGATAGCAATACTAGTAATACTACTAAAAGGAATTGTCATACTAATAATAATCACTGTAAACATAAGAATGACAGTAATAGTAATAGTAATCGTAAGGGTTGGAGAAGCAAGCAAGATGGCGGCGATGGTCGCCAATAGCTGGGTGATGTACGTCTGAGATGTTGAAGTGCGGCCTCTGGGGCATCTGGAGCGCTCAGCAAAACCAAAATGCAAGTGGCCTCATATGAGGTTGGTGGAGGCCTTCTTCAACCTCAAAGTGAAATCTTCTGAGCGAAACCTATTCTGTGCTCAACACATTACCTGAGGCAATCTCCTTCCAGCCAATTCTGCAGAAATTCCTGAGGATGGCGTCATAAGCATGTCTGCTAGCAACGGGGCTGCACAGTTTGCAACTGGAGTACGACACATTCAGCGTCTGCTTCTTGCTTATGACTTCGGCGATGTATCGATTAAACGCATCCCATGCCTCACAAACACGGTTCACCTTGCAAAGCGAGCTTGAGGCGCTTGGCAGCGCCTGTGGCACTTCATCCGCATTTCGCTTTGCGAGGGTATGCTGGAAGCTTGCAGCATCTGACAGCAACTGCTCAGCCTGGGCGATGCGTGCGACATTGGACTTCAAGAGGCATCTTTTCTGGCACTGGGATCCTGACCGTGTACATCCGCTGCACCACCGCGGCGGTGTTCGCCACTGAAAAAGTGCAACATGAGACTTTACTTCACGTTAAGCTGAGGATCCGAAATGCCATCAACCCACTTTTAGACTGGCTACCCAGGTGTCATCTGCTTCTCAACATGAACATAGGCAGGACTCAGGTCAGCTGCAGCCTGTTCTCCCGCGGGCTGGGCTGGCATGGGTTATACTTGGAGAAGTCTTGCAGTTGTAGACCGTCCAAGACATAAGAGGTTGAAAACCTCCACATGTTCCGTGTCCTAGCTTCGCACTGTCTTGTCAGCCGTGTAATGATAGTAGAACTTTGTGCCAGACTCAAGACAACTCTGCTTTGACACGGAATTGCGATTTGCTGCCACTTTCTGCAAGCAGGGGCATGTAGCTAACACATGTTCACGCACGCGATCCAAAAACACAGGAAACTCAACGAATGCTGGATCGTGGCCACTGGAGGGACCGTTGCGTGCGTGACATCTGCCAGCCACGGCCCTGATGCTTGGGTAAGGCGCGGCGCTCACTGCGGGAAGTGATGTGCCACCTGGGTGAGCAACACGCAATGCCGAGCTGCTGTTCTTCTTTCAGTGGCACTGTCTTTGCAGCAATTTCAAAATTAATGCCCCAAAGAACATGTACAATGCTCCGCAACCCCCCCCAAACAAAAAAAGCAACCCCGATGCGGAGTACTGAGAGCCAGCGCGCAACAACTAGGATGATTTGCTCCGTGCCTTCTTTCTCCTGTCGCCTGCTTCGGCTGCAAGGCTCAGTTCTGACGGCCGTATGACTGTCATGCGCCAATGTCCCACGGCACCCTTCTTGGACTTCTTCTTTTTGCCTTGCAGCAAAATGTCAGTCATTTCATCGCATGCAGAATGCATTGTCATGGCTACAGCTCCAAGGTCTTGAGCTTGCTGCGTGGAGCTTCCTCGTCCTCCTCCTCCTCCTCTGCAGCATCTTCCTCGGTTGCCTTGTGTTTCCGCCTCAGCCGTGCAAAGCCTTCTCCAGTCCAACGGCGTCCTGAAGTGCGCCCCCCATACCGAGAAACGCACTTCTTGTTTGCTTTCTTTGCCTCGATATGCTATCAACGAGCGAAATTTGCGAACAGGCATTGAAAGCTTGACGGAGGTCTACGCAAAAAAGAGAAAGCTGCGCCGTCAGGGTTTGCACATGCATGCTGAGCAAACATCTCTCAACAGTTATGACATTCCTGGCACATTTCTAAATTCGGCCTTCAACAATTGCTTCTTGGTTCACCTAGGCATTGATCCATGACTTTTGCATTGACCTGTTCAATCGTTGGGGCTGGAAGAGGAATGTGTCACTGCTGCATGGTGCCGATAGGGGCAGCAAGATGCTGCAAACTCACCTCAATGCTCATGGTATCTGGCGAGGAGACATACATTTTGTTCACACGCAATGTTTGCCCTGCAGAATTGAGGCTCTCCAGCGGTTTTTTGCCAACATCTGTGGAGCTCATCAACGGGCGGCATGAGAGCCCATCTAGCTACGAGACTTGAACAACTCAAACCGATGTTAAGCGGGCACTAGGCGGCCAGTCTAGGGCGCTAGCCTTCGCAACATGCAACCCTCATGTGTGAGAAAAATCCCGCCTTGTCCTTCTTCTTTTTCTTCTTTCCTCTCTGCAAGCCAGGAGCTGGTTCTAGGCTGCTAGATGCAGAAGGTGGCCATGAACTGCCCGGCCTGTATGCGTTGCCAAGTGATCCACGAAGATCTCGAAGCATTCTTTCCGAGTGTGTTCATCCACAGCCTGCAGGGCTCCGCCAAATACAGCTGCTCGCAACAGCGTGCGCCGTTGACGTGACTTACACCCAGCCTTCCAAGCTGCTTTCTTGCTCAGGAGGGCTTCGGCATCCTTGAACACCCACCCGACTAGCTTAGTACTCAAGAGACCCTTGTCCCGGATTGTCCTCGTAACTGGTGCCCGCTGAGATCTCTTTGGCCCTTGGCAGTCCATGCCCATCATATCTTGGTCGTGACAGTTTTGCTAGACTCCTAGACGCTCGAGCCACAGCCCTACTCCCCTGAGCCTGTGGCTTCATCAACAAATCCACAAACCTCAGGACTGTGTGCTGGCATTTGCGGGGCTTAGGAATGGCTCGCCTTGCGCCTCCGCCCTCAGTCACTGCTTCAACTGCCAAGGTGCTGGGTTCGGGTTTTCTCGCCATCTGGGTCCTCATCGTCACCTGTGTGACAGATGCTAGCAGAACGCAGAGATGCTAGCGCGGGGAAGCTTGGATGCAGGCCATCTTCCTCCTCCTCCTTGTCATCTGCCTTGTCATCCTCCTGCTTGTCCTCACTGTCATCATTTTCTGCCTTTCCTTGATCCTCTTTGTCACCATTTTCTCCCTTCCCAGCAGACCTTCCAGCGGCAGAAGTTGAACACAAGACAAGTGGCCAGTGAAAGCAAAAGGGTTGGAGGGAAACGAAATCAACTGCAGAATTGCAATCCTGTCCCCAGAATAAGAACCCCCCCTAATGTATGGCAATGCTCCTGCTGACATGTAAGTGTACTCTCATAAGTGCTGAACCCAAAATAACATCGTGATTTCATATTCTTGTCCATTCCTGCGGTTCTACCCACCCTATTTAACCTCAGTTTTCATGTCATGTTCACCCCGTAATGCTCAAAAATCCCAAAGTTTGAGTTGTTTTCGGGGTCTGGTCCTGGCTTGGGCCACGAAACCTCGTAATGCTTTCATGCTCAAAAATTCCAGAATCCCCAAAAATCTTTTTAGGGCCTGGTCCCTGACTGTTGTATAGGCCCCAGATTCTGGAATTTTTTTTGTTTTTGAGCAGTACAGTGTTCCGCGAGGTTCAGAGTTTGGAATGTTTGGAAGTTCTCGAGCATTGCTGTGGTGAGGGTAAAGTTCACAAAAGCGCGGCAACGCGCAAAACTTTAAAGAAATTAGAGAGCCTGGTCCCTGACTCTTCCATACCCCAGAATTTTGGATGTTTTGGATTTGATTGAGCATTACCGTGTTTCGCGATGTTGAGGTGTCTCACGTTTTGGACTTTTTTGAGCAGAAGAGCATTTGGTGAAGCTGCAGGCCACGTACCCTATCGTCCCATCATGTCTTGTACTGATTAAATTGAGCTACTTGGATTCACTTACTTAATTGAAGTACTTTGTTAAACTAGTTGAAATATCTGAACTGATGAACTCCACGCATTCAATCAACGCACATTTTAAGTAGTTGAAGTGAGTACTTAAGTCACGTATTCATTCAAACAATCCAATGAGTTTTCAAGAACCAGTTCCAGTTGACTACTCTAGTTGAGGTAATTAATTAGTTCAAATAGCGCGAGTACCTCAAGTCCTGTCAACTAAATTGACTGAATGAATCAGGCGAATTGAGTTAGTTGAACCTCTTAAACTGTTTAAAGTAGTCAATTAAGTTCAATAGTAATAGCTCAGCCAATCCAATTTCCTGCTTCTTCTAGTAGTTAAATTAATTAGTCCAACTATCTCAACAAATCGAATTTCTCACTTGAATTACCTCAAGTAATTCCATGAATTAACTCAGCTAATATACTTATTTGATTCAATTAACTCACGTGTCTTAACACTTTATTTCATGTAAGTGAAATAGTTGGGTTACTTGACTTACTTAAATCAAGTGAACTACGTGAAGCAAGTAAAATTATTGAATTGCTTGGACTAATTGAAACACCTTTAGTAATTAATTGAACCAATGAAGTGAGCTACCTACTTGGATGAATCGATGAAAGAGCTCAATTATTTTTTTTTGTAGTCAATTAACCTAACTGCATCTGCTAGTTAATTCGGTTAGTTGAATTAATGAATTGAGCGAACTAACTGCAATTGAACTAAACTACTCAATTAACAGGCTTGTGTAAATTGAGTACTGTAAATGCGGGAGGCCCATGTCCGAAACCGGAATGCAGTCTTGGATCTTGTGTTCTTGGGTAGAGCTTACGAAGGAAGGGTGACGCTATATCCCTCTGTATGTCCCTATATATACGTAAACGTATGTAAATGTTATATATACATCCCTACATGCACACACGTATATACATATACATATATATATATGTATACGATTTTATGTGTAGCCCTTTGTAGTCCGTATATAGCCGCTTAATGGTTAAGAAGGTATGGGGAGCATTGAACATTGAACCATCCGAGGCTGACACTTTTTTCTTGGAGCCGGCCTTAGGGCTGGCGTGCCAGCGATACTAACAGCAGTAAAAAGATAATGATGACAGTAAAAAATGCAAATAACAGGAAAAGTAGTGGAAACACCTATAAATAAGAATAAGTAGTAGATGAGAACAATACTTGCACACAAATAAACCTAGTAATTGCAGTTAAGAATAAATTAGAATAACAACGAAGTCAATCACACCCAATGCTAATAGTAATACTAATGATAAGTAGCGATTTGATGCGACAGCCATCAAAGTATCATTAGGTGACTGACCCGCCGCCGGCATCTGCATCTGCCTGCCTAAGGAGCTATGTGCAGCGATCGACAGCCGCACATGTCGATGCAGAGGCTAACGCATCGAGTGTCACGTTTTGTCCCGCATTCGAGTGGTATGTAGCTGAGGGCAGCTTGGACTGAATGTGTTCGAGCTTCTTGCAACAAAAAAACGTCCGTGTCTTCAGGTGCTTCTACAAGTTGGCAATAGCCCTGGCGACCAGCACCAAGCTGCTACACCTTCAGTGAAACTACATAGGCAGCCACTGCCAGCATCACGGCATTCAACTGCCACAGGCACGTGTGCCATGTAAACAGCTTCACAAGCAGTGACTGGAAAGTGGCGCTGCTGCAGGCTCCACAGAAAGCTTTCCAGGGGATATCTAGGGGATATATAGGGGTATATTGATACATAGGGGTTACATTGCGCTACTGTCGCCAGGGCAACTGAGGCTGCCTCAGATTGGTGCCAAACAGTGCCAAGTGTCACAGAAGCTCCTGTCTGTGAGGAGGCTCCGTCCTTTGAAGAGTCTCCGTGCAGGCAACACATCTATCTACTACGCTAGAATTCGCCCTGCAGGCGAAATCCCTTTTGTCTGAGCATGTCGGGAATTTGGCCTCAGCAGCGTGCTGCCACAGTTATGCAGTAGGAGTCCAAGATACACGCTATGGCACGAGAACTTTTTGAGGCTGGGTCTGTAAGAGTATTGTGTGAGGTCGATCCGCTCCTATGTGCCGTTGATCATGACTGCATTGTTTCAGGCAGTGCTGCTTCCAGTGCTGTGAGTTGCCACTCCATGTCCTTCTCGCTTCCGTTCTCAATGATGATGAGGTCAGGGTTGTGCCCCTGTACCCAGCGGACCTTGAGGCACACAGCCGTTACTAGACATACTGCCTGTCAGGGTCTTCAAATTGGTCAACCACGCAATTTAGATTGGTCAGAACGGATGTGGTAAGTCAACAGTTGGTACAACTCTCTAGTGACTTTCAGTAGACTTGCGTGATATTTCATCGGTGCCATAATCAAATAATTGGAAGGCTGTTACCAGGCAACCGATTTCGGAGGATTCGGACAGTTGCTTATGGGCTGAACAAATTTGAAGAGCCGGTCCGTTTGATGATGGAATGCCTGATGTTCACGGTCTACTGCTTGGTTTTCATTCTTGTTCTGTCAAAGCATCTATGCTTTGATACGCATGCAAACGACATGTTGGAAGCATGCGCCTCGAGGTTTTGCCATTCCTTCCAGCGTTGCTCTTCCTTCAGCCAGCGGCGGACGTCAGCAAAGTGATTCAGTTTTCAGCCTTCAGGTGTAATGCATAGACAAGGCGTGGGTCTATATCTCGACAAGTAGACAGAGCAAAGTCAGCCAAGACACCTTGGCACGACATGATCATACCTGAGCTGAGTGAGGTCGGCAAGAGAAATTGCAAAAGAATCATGCTCCATTAATCATGCTGGAATGCTCACACTCTGATTGAGAGCTGCCGCCGCCGCCACCGCTGCCGCCGCCGCCACCACCACCACCACCACCACCACCACCAGCACCACCACCAGCAGCAGCAGCAGCTGCAGCAGCAGCAGCACCACCACCA